TCCGTAAGAAATATAGATCGAGAAAGTGATAGAATATTAAAAGATCGTCGTACGAATTGTAATGATATTATTTAAACTTCTAAGATATATTTCAGGTATCATTCGCTGGTAATTACATTCTCGCGATTGCCAATATAATGATGTCGCGTTTAAATAACAATGAAGTTACCATTACGTTAGCTGAGGTATGTATCTAAGAAACTTTTTTTTTTTTTTTTATATATATCTTCCTCTAAGAGATTCTTTTATCCATTTTACAAATTCGAAAATATATTTTTCGTTTATTTAGATAATATCGGACTTGGTGCAAGGTGAGTTCATGCAACTTGGTTCGAAGGAGACGGAGAACGAAAGATTTGCTCACTACCTCAATAAATCATATCGAAAAACGGGAAGTCTAATCGCTAATACGCTCAAAGCGGTAAGTTCGAGATTGGTAAAAAAAAAAAAAAAAAAAAAAAAAAAAGTTAAGAATAAAGAAGAAGCAAAAGAGAGTAATATATAGTTAAAAAGATTTTATCAATAAACACAAACATAATGTTATATTTTCTTTTATCCGTAGACGGCGATAGTAACTGAGGCGAACGATCAGATAATAGAATTAGCTTATCAATATGGCCGAAATATTGGGCTTGCTTTTCAATTGGTCGACGATTTTCTAGATTTTGTTTCGTCGTCGACGATGATGGGTAAGCCAACAGCGATCGATTTGAAGCTAGGCTTGGCTACTGCACCTGTTCTCTTCGCTTGCGAGAAGGTAATGATAGATTATAAACGGACGAGTCGAGATCAGAATCTAAAAATTATTTAAATATATAAATTTTAACTTTTGCAATTTAACGATTACTTGACAGTAATCCCTGTCAAATAGAATATTCTTTTTGTTTTTTCTTTAATCCTTCTCTGTTTCGACTCATTGGATAGATTTTTTTTTTCTATTAAATGTATAAAAATCATTCTCTCAGACGCAATTCTAATTTACTTCTTTTTTTTTTTTTTTTTTTTTTTTTTTTCACTCTCCTTTCAGTATCCAGAATTAAATGCGATGATCATGCGTCGATTCCAAGAACCAAATGACGTCGAGAGAGCGTACAAATTGGTTCACAAGTCACACGGTCTTGATCAGACCAAATTTTTAGCTAAGAAGCACTGTGCCGAGGCTGTAAGATTGGTACAATCGCTTGCCGAAAGCCCTTATCAAAAAGCTTTGATATTTATTTCTGATTTTGTTATCAATCGTATTAAGTAGCATCATTTGATTAAGTAGCAATGAGGAATTGACGATAGTTTAAAAAATATAAAATCCGTACAGCTTGGTACTAGTTGATTAATGGAAGAAAAAAAAATAGAAAAAAAAAAGAGAGAAAGCAAAAAAAAAAATGTAATAATAATAGATACGAATCCAAGGATGTATTTTTTATCTACTTGATTGAAGTATAACTTTAAGAAATGTTTCACATCACTGATGCGTGATAGAAGATAACGTTGTTGCACAATGTATTGTATATATATGAATTTGTTACAATACACGTATATAATAGAATTTTATTACATTCGTTAACATTGAGAATATGATTACGTATGATACTCATACAATGATGCCTGATTTGTTAATATCGAAGAGCTTATCTCAAAATGTATTATAAAGATTTTTTCTTTTTTTTTTTTTTTTTTTTTTTGTCAACATTACTTATTATATCGGATGGTGAAAGAAATCAATAAAGTATCAATAATTTGATTATAAACGAAAAAAAAGGAATAAAAGAAAAAGATATCTGAAGTTTAAAAAGAAGCAAAAAAAAAAGAAAGTCTATTCGAAAATTAAAAACTTTTATTAATCAAATAAGATATATTCTTCTTTTTGAGTAAGCGCATGAAAATTATGCGTCGATTATCTTTCAACGTTAATTCAAATACATATATATATATATATATATATATATATATATATATATATACTTTTAAATTATTATTAATTTTTAATTGAATATGATGCATCGCATTTCTGTATTTCTTTTTTTTTTTTTTTTTTTTTCTTTTTTTTTTAATTACATCCGAAGTACAGTAATTGAATCAATCCTAGTTCAGTTTTTAATGCAAAGAAAATAGAAAAGCATGTGCTTATTATGTAGCAATATTTAATAAAATGAAATAAAGGATAGACGTAGTAATAATGCATTAGCGACGGTGAACCTTCTTCAGAATTAAATTTATAATAATTATATCATGAATATTAGGACAAATATATGTGTATCGATTGCATCGGTTAAATTAAAAAATTTATGAAATAAAAGAAAAAAGAAAAAAAAAATATATATATATATAATATATTTATAAAACAGATTGAGAGGAAGGGATCCGTGTGTGTTAATACGTGTAGAAAGTACAATCTGCAATTTAGCATAATACAGAGTGGAGAATATCTGCCAAAGAAAGCCTTCTGGTCTCTTAATTTTTCAATTTATTCACCAATAAGTGGTTTTTTTTTTTTTTTCTTTTTTTTTTCATAACAAGAAATACAAGTATTCTCCGTTATATATTCAAGCTTTAAATATGAAATTTTTCTCATGAAGTTTCCCAATGTTGATATTGCCTTATTATAAGCTAAATAATTTTAATATTGTCTGATAAATAAATAATAATAATAATAATAATAATAATAAAAAATGTTTAAAATGTTGATCATTATATTATGATTGAAAATATAGAATATATATATATATATATATATATATATATATATATATATATATATATATAAATATCTAATGTATAATAACTTATATTTATACAACAAATTAATGTATATAATAATTAATAAGATAATAATGTCGCATTGTAAACTGAATCTTTCGATGGATAATGAAAATATTTAATTAAGATCAAATCTAGATTTATCATAGGATAACATTTATAATTGAAGTTATACAAAAAAAAAAAGAAGAAAAAAAAAATAAAAACATAAAATTTTTTATCCTCTATGATCATTTCATTCAACATTATTGATTGAACAATTTGTTAAATTGATAAATTTTAGATTCTTAAAAATATTATCAAAAGTTATCGGATAAGACTCAGTATCCTAATTATTGTAATTACTGTATTGCGAAAAACTAAATTTATGTTGTACAATTTTTTTATTACAAATATATCGATATAATATAATATATACATATATTGTTTTTTTCTTTTTTTATCTTTTTTTTTTTTTTTTAATTATACTTCAATTTCAATCGAAAAATTTTTCTCTTGGGGATGTTGATCTTGTGTAATATAAATATAAACTATCATAGTATATTCGTTTAAACATTGAGAATACGAAAACTCACGAAAAACTTATGTTACGATAAAATACTACCAAGCGAATGATTGCATATTTCAAGAATATTTTTCCAATTTAATTCCAATTTAACATTAAAGTAATTATATTTTACATCATTAATCATACTTTAATAGATAATTATTTAAACAATATATTTATTATTCTTTATGATTTTATCGTGAAACAAATGCGTATCGACATTGTATCTAAATACGCATCACTGCGAGATGTACGCTACTTACTATCAAAATAAAACAAAAAAATATATGTATACATGAAAGATCGAAAAATATGACTTCACATTTTACTAAACTACTTTAGTTTAACCCAACAAAACCAATAATTATATATATATATATATATATATATATATATATATATATCGATATGATAGACGTATAGTGAGGACAGCGTTTCCCGCTTATACAAGTAGTTCATATTTTGTCCATACATGTCGCTGAAGTCGCACACGCTTCGAATAAAAGATAGCGAATAACCTTAAATGCCATATAACACGAAACAATTTTAAATTTACGCGCCAGGAAGAAGAGCGCGCAACATGCTAAAATATGTCGTACCGCTTTTTTCTTTACGTCAGTGTAGTATTTCAAATAATGAAAGATAAATGTAAAACTTTACACGATAAAATGACAATACATTTCATTAATTATTATTAAGGACAAATATTTTTTTATTTATTTAAATAATAAGGTATATAAAAATATTGTTGCGAATTAGCCAGTATTGAAAAATATTGGCAATGACCAGTGATTATAAGTTGGTATAAGTCGAACAGTTCTGTGTGATACTAATCGATAGAAATTTTCTAAATTCTCTTTGCCCTAACTGCTTTATTAAAAGTATGGCTAATTTGTTAGATCTCTGCGAGAAATATTTCGGTTCGCGAAATTTTTATGAAGTGTTAAAAATATCGACGGATGCGGATGACAAACAGGGTACATAAATCAATGTTGCTAATGAAAACCTAACCTCAATGATGAAACTTATAAATTTCGTTAAATTTTTCCTTTAAGTTACAAATGAAAGAAATAGATATCTCCTTTTAATTTAGTCGACAAAAACTAAATGATATATTTCGCTTTTTAATATGAAATTTATTTCTTTTTCTTTTTTTCTTTCCATTAGTGAAAAAAGCTTATCACAAGCTATCTCTGCTGGTGCATCCGGATCGTGTAGAGGAAAATATCAAGGCTGAAGCTACGGAAAAATTTAAAGTTCTTGGTAGAATTCATTCTATACTTAGTGATTCAGAAAAACGAAAAATCTATAATGAGTCTGGTCAATATGACGAAGAAAGTGAAGAGGTTATTATGCGCAATTGGGCTGATTATTGGAAGACATTGTTCAAGCCAATTACTGAAGAGACTATCAGTAACTACGAAAAGACGTATAAAGGTTCTGAAATTGAAATAAAGGATTTAAAAAGGGCATATATGGATGGTAAGAATGATCTATTTATTGAAAAATTAAGTTACGTTAAATGTAATAATATATCTTATATATTTTTACAGGTAAAGGCGACATGGATTACATTTTGGTGGTTGTACCTTTTAGTAATTGCGAGGAAGAACCAAGATACCATACGATCATAGCTAAATTAATAGAAGCCGGTGAAGTACCTGAATACAAAGCTTTCACGGAGGAAAGCGAAAAGAAGAAATTACGTAGGAGAAGAAAGGTTTGTATAAAATATAAATCATATAGATTAAGCATAGAAATAAATTATATCCTTTGTTATAACGGATTAGATACTTAAACGTGATTCAAAAATTGTCAAACTTATACTTCTCTCATCAGAATCAATTATTATTTATTGGATTATGATGTAAAATCAATTGAGATAATTTATTAACGTCAATGGAACCATAATATTATAGAGTTTTGAATACTTTCCTTCTTTCTTCAACTTTCATAGTACGTCACGTTAATTTTCGAACAAACAAACGCTTGGTGCTCTATTTTCTAGCTTTTCTATTTTTATCAATAGACACTGTCGCTCGACGATTGAAAGTAGCAAGAGAAGGAGAAGCGAGGTATTAAAGGAGGGAGGGGGGAGTACTGGTAAATAAGTAACCAGGGAACGCGCAATAGTGGGATTAGTTCACGGGACAATCCGATCGAGGATTGCCCTCTTTCGTATTCACGTTATGTCTTTCGGCTAAAATCTTTAAGCACGATGATTTTAATATATAAGTAAAATTTATGAAATATTAATATTGAAATAATTAACGGTATATCTCGTGAATGTTTTAATAAAAATGGATACCGTCGTATTCGGATTCATACTTTTAACAGTTTTCATGAGTGTTGGGGGTGCAGCAGGAACGTGTGAACACGTGAAAAATGAAGATATGTTGGAATATTCTTGTGTCGGAGGACATCCTGTGGATTTGTATTCGATACCAACGGAAATAGAAAAGATACGTATCAATAAAATGAAAATTCCGATTATAACTGCGAATATGTTTTCACGATTTGGCTCTAATCTTTGGGTCTTATCTTGTTCGCACTGTGACATATTGGATATCGAACCAACCGCTTTTCAATCCTTAATAAATCTTCAACAATTAAGTTTGGACGATAATCATTTAACCACCGTCAAAGGGTCTTGGTTCAAAGGATTGAATTATCTAACGTATTTGGATCTAAATTACAATCAAATAACGACGATCGAAGACGAGGTGTATGAGAATTTGCCGAATCTCGTGGACTTTCGATTATCCGGCAATCGGTTCGAGTGTTTAAATATAAAAGCGATGGAAAATTTGAAGGAATTAAAGAGAATATTTCTCAGTGAAAATAAAGAATTTAAATGTCCAAATGCTATCAGTAAATTTCTCGAGGATCGTGACGTTAATTTCAGTAAAGATCCAGAATGGAAGGATTTCGATGAAATCTCGATCGATGAAAGTAATAATAATAATAATAATAATAATAATAATAATAATAATAATAATAATAATAATAATAATAATAATAGTAATAATAATAATAATAATAATAATAATAATAATAATAATAACAATATGACCGAAGTAATAGATCAAACAGAAACTTCTATTGTTTGGTCATCAACGCCAGATTATTGGAAGAGGATTTATTTTCCTTCAATTGCCGTGACTACCGAAGATACGAGATCATCTGAGGGTACATCAATGACCGAAAGCATACGTTATCCATTGTATGCGCCGATTAGCGTAACCACGTCTGATTATAATGATATAATATCTCAATTCTCATCGGTCGATTCTTCTTCATTCGTCACAACGACTGATAGACCGGAAGCATCACGATATCAACCATCAATCGCTGATCCTAATCGTTCTTACATGACAACGACAACGCAACAACAACCTTTTAGATATTCATCAATCCAACCTTGGCCGAAAACTATCAAAAAAGATGAAATAACCATGAACAGTGAATATCATGAACAATTTGACAATTACGACGAAGTAATTGGGACGTCCTCTTTGGCTTCAAGCCCAACTGATCGAGAAACCTTGTCTTCTATGTTAGATACAAAAAATATTTTATCAACGCAACCACCTGAAGATTATTATACACAGAATGAGATACTGATAGAACCAAATTATCCGCTTCCTAATCCAACCTTTGATTCTTTTCCTAATCCAATCTTTGATCCGCTTCCTAATCCAACCCTTGAACCACAATTCGATGAGAATGATATCGAAACTATTAAAACTGACGATGTACGTTATACTACGAGACCTTACGTACCACCGCCGATACCACCTCAGATTGTTCAACCTGCTGCACCTGGCGATTTTCTTCAAGTTCCTTATTACGAACCCACTGTTACCATAAGACGGCCATTATCACCGGCGGTGATACAAAATTACGAACAACAACAACAACAACAACAACAAGAACAATCATCAATTACAGTGGTAGAAACCACTACGGATAAACCATTTCCTGAGTGTCCAAAAAGTTCATCGCTGTCGATCGAATTGACAACTACCACCCTTTTCTTTCTTGTTTTTCTTTTAAATATCATCGTGCAGAGAATTTAGCTGAAGGACATTTATCGTGAGTGATAATAATCCACTTTATCAACTTACAGATCGCATTGATCTTAACTCATACGTATCGTACGATTATGAATTATTAATTATTCTTAATTGTTATTATTA